ACACATGGCTATGTGAAAGGCGGTGTCGATGGATCATGCGAAAAGGGTTTTTGACAGGCTGTGCCCTTACCATAATTAAATTAAACCATTGCCTAATACGATGTAAATATGAGTGTTGGATAAGTGAGCCGCGCAAGCGCTCGCGCATTTGTGTCGCTCTGACAAATAGCGCATAAATAATTTAGCATCCCTATTAAAATTTTAAAACCATTTAGTGAAAATTGATAAACGAAGATCTAGATATTGATACATATTATAACCAACATTGCTTATCCTCTGCCTTGTTAACAAAGAGCAAATTTTCTTAATGCCTTCTCCCTGTCCTAAAACCAAAACTTCATCCTATTAAAGTAATGGAGTGCTCTAGTATGGAGTGCTCTAGTTGGATGGGGGTCTAAACTGCTTTTTGTTGTGATGTGATTTAGTGGATTTTATATATATTATTACAAAGGGTTTTATTTTTACCTCAGTTTTTAAATTTGTACCATTTTTACAAAATTTTTATATAGGGTCATTGCTATATTATGTGTATATTGTTTGAATATTTTTTACATTATGGTAACCTTTTTTACCTGCTCAAAAGCAATTCTAACTGCACATCTACATTCTTTTGTTGATTAAATTGATTTAAATTAATCCTATTAAAGTAAAGGCCTGTTGTTACCAGAAGCTATTATACCGTCCCTCTCAAAAACATGCCTCAACCTCCATCAAAAACAATTTTAGTTTTCAGTCCTTCTAGTTTCCAAAAATGTACCGAGCTAGTGTTCTGGTGTGCACAAAAGCCCCTAAGCCCGTGCATTCCTTGCCCCGCTAGCAGCCAGTCCTTGAACAAACTTCCAATAGCAAAGATCAACTAGCCATTTACAAATTGAGCACTATACAATTTTAATTGTTTTAAATATTTGACTTTGTAAAATGAGCTAAAACATCGATTTATTAGTTTCATTGATTTATTAGTTTCATTGAGCTACCAAGATGTAAATCGCACGTTACGTAGAGTATCATTTTCCCTTCGGATAAAGTTTGTTTTGTTTGGGAACCAGCTTTGTTTACTGGTTAATGTTTACTCAAGAATTTATACATACAATAATATACAATAATTATATTCCTAAATCTGCTAATATAAAACCTAAATAACTCTAAAAATATACTCCACACGAAATTATGGACCTGGAAGTAAGATTAAATACATCAGCTTAATACACAAATCAAAACAAAATTCTAGAAGACTGACAGTCTTGTGTTGAAAGACGAATATGATTTAGAAGCTTATCAAAAAAAATTAAAATCTTAGCCAACCAGGAATCCAAAAATCCAAGCAAAACTCTGTCTTAACACATTTCAAACAACAATTTTGTCCACACTACACACTTTGCCTCCTTTTATGTAGTGTCTCTTATCTGGCTCGTCGTTTGATCTCTTCTTGAGTTCTAAAACAAGCTTTTGCTGTTCGGCACGTTCCTCTGGAGACCTATCTGGACTGATAAAGACTTTACTGAAAAGTTCTGAGCTACGGAGATGCCTTGCTCTAGTCAAAATTTGCTGCACGATTGTGGAGCTCGTCAAAGTCACCTTAACAGGTCTGTCAGCCACTTGTTTCTTATCCTTGGGTTTATTCAAACCAATTCTGCTAGCTTCTATTTTTGGCTTTTCGCCAAGTTCCAACAACACTTGAGCGACCTTGTCGCATAACAGCTCACCTTTCTCTTCTTTAATACCAAATAACATCAGATTCCGACTTCGGTCTCCTTCTGCCACAACATCCTTGATGACATTCTTCAAAATGTTTCTATCCGAATCCAACAAAGGACCTGCTGCTGAGGTTTTTGATGCCTGTACTGCGGCGCTGTATGTCTTCAACTCTGATTTCACAGTATCCTCGACTGATGCTACAACCACAGATTTCAAGTCATCAAGCTGCTTGTCTTTGGCAGCTAGCAGCTCTTTCTGCAATACAACTACTGTTCCCTGACTGTCAATTACATCGGAGTGCAATTTCTGATTATATTTCTCTAGCTGATTAATATACAACGACTGTCTATACATAACTTTTAACGCAGCGTTAAGACTCTGAGCCATGACTTCCCTGGAGATTTCTCTTTTACCACTGAAACTCTGAGCTGCACACGCGTTAACATGATCTACTTTAGCAAGCCCAAGAGTTTTCCGGATCCATTCAGCTGCATCATCTTTCACTTCATCAAGCTTATAAGCCACGTATTTCTCCGATTTATACATCACACAACCATGGCACCGGTTAAACAAGCAAGTCTTATCAACGTACTGTGCTGTGCGTAATACATCACATGAATCAGTTTTTAATCTATTAACTTATTACACATTTGTGCTCTGCTTTAGCATCACTTGACTATATTTAAAAAAATTGTTTGTTCAGGCCATGACTTTATAGTCAGCCAATTGGCCATTGCTGAAATTGAATGTAATTTATTCGATATCTTTCTGTTAATAGGGTGAATGACATATTTAGGCCCGTGGCCAGTTTTCACTCTTTTCATAGGAAAGTGTTGAAGTTTAAGTCCTGCCAGTTAATATTGTCAGGTTGGTGTTGAGCCTTCATGATAGAATGCTTCAATTGGGATTTAATTGAGCCTAGTGAACCTATTTTACCACGTGCATTTGACTGCTCAAGAAACGTATTCCATAGATTTGCCCCTTTATATGCGAAATTGTGAGATGAGTGTGGTGTCACAAATCTGTCATCTCTGAGCTCAGACTTCTTAAAGAGAGAATACATGGATATGGCAGTGGCGTAACGTTGCCTGTTGGCGCCCCCCCTGCCGTAAAGGCGCCCCCCTGTTGGCGCCCCCTCGACTCCCCTTTTGGTGCCCCTCCCTAAAATTGAACAAATTAGGTGATTTTAGAAGATACGCCGGTAAAAATCTCTAAAAAAGTGTGTATCTAGAGCAAAACGCGCAGTTTTGCTAGTACTTTAGTTAAGTTTTCGAAATTGTCCCACATTTAAACGACGATTTGGCGCCCCCCTAAGACGGCGCCCCCCTGCACAGCGGGGTCAGCAGGGCCCTTCGTTACGCCACTGGGATATGGGCTGATGACTCTTCACTATCTTCATTGTTTCAGTAATGCATCTGTATCTATATATATGTTATGTATTGTCATTAGTTCCTTATGACAATCGGTTTTGTTGATTCTCTAGAGTGGAATTCTGCCCCAAGTATTTGGCAGCGATGTGGCCTTACTTGTCTATTACCAGTCTTCCTCAAGCCGATACATATAGAACACGGTTTAATGTGAGGTATAGTTGATTCATTGGATATTTGACCTTTCTTGTTTATACTGCACTGGATTGGCCTGCTACGAGAACAAGTTTTAAACATATTTTTAAGGGGCGTAACTCTGGCTCTGCTACGGCTATGCAGCTTTGCTATGTGTACGGTTGGGTGGACGGGTGGTTTGAATGTTTCATTGTCTCAAAATGGACTTATTTTGTCTGTGCATATGGCACAGTTTCCCCCGTGTGTCTGCCACATGTATAACCTCCTAATTCAGATATTAATACATTTGATTATAACCTATACTGAATGTATACTGGAATATAAATCAAATCAAATATATGAATCAATATTTGGAAACAATACAATATGACTTTCGGACAAAAACCTAATTATATCAAGTATAAATAATACTTATTTATTAACTAATTCCTAAACATTTAAGTACTTATTATTGATATTTTTAATTAAGGTGACAGATGTGTGTGTTGCCATCACCTTTTCCAACAACCAACCTTATTTTATCAAACAAGAGCATTAAATAATACTATTTAATCTGATATTATGCTCCTTGTCCAATGTCCCCTTGGTGCTGCTTGCTTAAGTTCTGCGAATCAATCCCTCTAATCGTTGTGACAATCTGCCTCTATTTCTGTATACACTTTAAAAGAACTAGCAGTAACCTGTATAACCCTGAAATGGTGTCAAGGCTCAAGAGACTCAAATAATTATTACCTATTTAATTCGCGTTTTTGACACCACTTGGGGGTCCAAATTTTGGGCTCTAAAATCACTATTCCTTGGCCAATTTTTTATTTTTTCATGCTGATTTGAAAGCCATTAAAGCATTTGACCCAGTCAAAAAAGTTTCAGTTGTATATCTTTTACGGTTTTTGCGGAAAGTCACATTAAAATTGATGCTGTGGTGTCAGTAAAATGGCACGTTTGGAGGAGGATTTTAAATATATAAAAGTGTATACATTGTTCGTAGTGTATTATTTGTAATAGATGCGAGTTATCGAATGTTTTATAGGAGTAGTCAAGAAGCTTGAGTTTTGGTGCTATGACGTGCTCCAGATTTTAGAAGATCTAAATACAAAATCTTTTAATGGGAATTGAGCAGTGAGATTGGTTTCCTTTCTACATGATAACTCATATTGCTGGTGCAGTGATGTTAGGCGTCTGAGTTTTGGTATTTTAAGGAGCGCTCTCTTTGGGAATCCAAGCAACAACTATTTATTATATATTATATATACTAGCAGGAACCCGTCTAACCCTAAAATGGTGTCAAGACTCAAGAGACTAAAACAATTATTACCTATTTAATTCGCGTTTTTGACACCACTTGGGGTACCAAATTTTGGGCTCTAAAACTCCTATTTCTTATTTTTTCATGCTGATTTGGAGGCCATTAAAGCATTTGACCCAGTCAAAAAAGTTTCAGTTGTATATCTTTGACGGTTTTTGCAGAAATTCGCGTTAAAGTTGATGCTGTGGTGTCAATAAAATGGCACGGATAAATAAATATATATATATATTATATCGTCTCGCTTTATATATAGTAAGATAGTAAGATGAAAAATATTTTAACTTGATTTGATTGATTGATTGAAATAAATTTACTATTAGATTTATTTTTAACATGATATTGATATTCGTTGTAATGGCATTGATAGTTAATTATCTCAAATTTTCACTAAATATCAAAACATCAATGTATTTAAAGTAATTGTAAAGTGACCTTAGCTTGTAAAATGGGCGATTCGGAGGAAAATGATGAGGATCAAACAGCTGACAACATGGGAGTGAGTTGTTTTTTATTTATTACTTTTAATATAAATAGATCATAAGCAGTGATTGAAAATCAATGGACTTATTTCGAATACTTATCAGGATTTTCGACAACTCATTAGTCAAGTTGATAATAAGTGCTGGACTCAATGTTTCATGTCACAAAACATATAAACATATAATTTGGTTACGTTGATAATAGAAGTGGCATGAAAACGTTAACCGTATTCTATCCAATTTATCTCCGTGTAGCGAAAGAAGCTGTTCCAAACAAAATTGAAATGGAAGCTTTATCTCATATAAGTCAAAGATTAAATGTATCCCATTCTTTAAATTGTCTAGTGTGGGGCTGTTATATAGAACTTCTTTGACATTGTTCGTTAATTCGATCATCCCATCAATTTAGACTGCAAGTCTTAACATTCATAGTTTAACAAAATAATGTTTTTCGAATAATCGTGGTATAAAGTAAACTTCCATGCCAGAGGGGCACCAGAAATATATATTGAACTTCAACCAGACATGACCTTGGGCAGGATCAATGTCTCTAATGAGGTGAATACCCTGAAAAGTATTTTTTAAATACTATAAGTAGATCTTTGCTATTTTAAAATTATTGCAATTTAATCAATTTACATGATACACCACCGAGGCCCTCTTAAATCACTGCATTAAACAACAAACATGTATGTTGAAGTACAGCTCTAGTTCTAGCAAATATTAAAATAAATGATTGTTTACCTCGTCTTAACTGCATGGCAGTTAATGTGTTATGTAAAATTCCACCTCGCCATCATTCTCAAAGATATCTTATTTCAAATATAAGTTTTCAACAATTTCTGTCACCAACAGAGGATGAAGCCCACTGCAGTGCTCCGGCTGCCACTTCTTGACTATGTGACTGAGGCCCAGGGCAGCATGGGAAGTCTTGCTGAAACACCTTTTGACTACACAAGTTCTGATGAGGAAGGACGCTTTCGAAGCCTATCCAACAATGATAGTCCAGACAGAACTAAAAAACTTAGTGTGAGGATAAGTGATGTTGTTGATGTCAACATGTACAGAAGTAGTCCGCCAAGCGGAGATAGCTCCAGTATAGATGAGGGTGATGAAGACCTCTCCAGTTCTATTGATGATATCAGGCCGGAGAGAGACCAAGAATTTCCTGAGTCACACTACGATGTGCCTGCTTCTTCTGCTCGAGAAGAAAGACTCAGTGAAAGTGACAGTGTTTTTTCTAAGGATAGCATCACTCCTGAAATTACTACAACTATCGATGGGAAAACGTTTGAGGATTGTGTAGCGATGATGGATGATGGAACCTTCTCAGTGGCCAGTAACGCCAGTGATGACGAAGGGTTTGCTAAACGAAGCAAATCTTTCCTCAATTTGTTCTTTGGAGTTGGAAATGTATGTATTTTGGAGTGAAGTATTCATGGGTTGATCTAGCTGTACAGAAAAATCTTGTAAAACTTGTAAAATTTCAGATCTTTGAAGTAGCATAACATAATTGTGATCATAAATCTTTGATCCTTGTAGTCTAGATATAATCCTTGTAAAAACATGTCTGATTTTAAATGGTGTGATACGTAATCCGTGTTATTTTAACTTATGAATACCTAGGTACTAGTAGGCGAATTTGCCAATTCGTGTGCTTGGCTCAATTATTACGATACAGACAGAACATTTTGTGTGTATACATACAGTGTGCTGTCATTTCTTTGTATCATCTCTCAATACTCTTTTAGCTCTTCCTCATCTGCCTTTTCTTAAAGGTTCTGTACTTTATACCATGTTCTGTGGATGCAACTCTCGTAATTTGGCTGACAGTCCTAACTTTGAGGTGATTTCCATTTTGTTCAACAACTGGGATTTTAAATCTTGAATGATTTGGGAATTAAGTTTGATAGCCTGTTAATTGACAAAATTCAATTGGTGTACGATCGAACTTAGGTTACACAAATGTCAAATACGCAAATTTGAGAAGTTGAAAATGATTGCAGAGTAGCTTCGGATCTCTTGCTTCTAGAATTACCAAGTACTATTACATGCTGCTATTTTGGTTTCTGTAATAGTAGGGGTGGGCACGAATATGCAAATTCAGTAACGATGAAATTAGACACTATTACTAATAGTGTCTAATTTTATCGTTACTGAACAACCTGAAACTGGGTAAGTTCGTTGAACTACGTTGATATCTGATCATGTTGATAGGTTCTACCACCTTCATCGGCTCCCCCAAACCACACGAAAAACGATTGGCAACAAAGTAACTTTATATAAAAGCGGACGATGAAATAATGAATTACATTTAGCTTGCATCCTGACCTAACGATGCAATCAATACCGTACCTACGTACAGAATCCAATTGAAATAACCCTCTCAGTTCAGGTTACATGATGATATGATCTAAAATAACTATGCTCGGAGGTACTCAAGTAGATTGGCAACCTTGTGATAGACGTTTAATTTACAACATAAAGTCAAAAGCGTGTCTATAGCTTTAAGGGACCAGGTATTGTGTTCTGTGTAAACCCAACACCACCCCACGTGATACATGGTCCTTGGTTTCATGGTAAATGTTGGATTGTGTTTAAGCCACTTACCGATAATTACATCTGTAATTAGACTAATTAGAATAATATGATAGTTTAAATTTGAAATTAGTTGGAAATGCTGCTAATTTCCGTAATGTAGCCTAATGTTTTACCAATAAACCAGTGCTTATATTCTTGCTTTGACCTCCCTGAAAGTTGTATACAAGTTGGAGAAGCCTGGCGCCTGTTCTCTAGTTGTAACATGATATAATGTACTCTACCCAAGATCATATTACACTGAATCACATTCTCTACAACAACTCAACAATCCAGCTTCAACAAGTATAACAACACTGCGCTCTGAAACTCTTGTTACATCTATTTACAGATGACATGTTACACACACGTACATGATACATTACATCAAGCCTAATATAAACTGTGTTCTAATGGGAGGGGGGGGGGGGGGGGGGTGAACCCCATACTCATTTATTCTTTAACTTTTTCGTCAAATGGGAATGGGCATTGCTGTTTTTAAGGCTTTGTACATTGGGCAAAGCCTTAAAAACAGCTAAATCTTGAGTTGTGATGAAAATAAACATCACCAATCACAAATCTGTCCTCTAATTAGCAAGCACAGCTATATTTCAACTCAATAAGAGTATGGCATCAAAAATATTGATTTCTTTATTTTTCGATTTCGACCGAAAAATTGTGAAAATAATGCCCATTTTGCTTCTTTCTTCTTAAACTTTTGTTCAAATGGGTATGGGCAACGTTGGCCCCCCTCCTTCAATGTACAACTACAGGTTTTCATGATGTTGGAGGAGTACATTTGTAATATTTTCATAATATGTCTGCATAATGAGGTCTCGTAAAACACAAACAATATGATAATATTAACTACAATTGAACACAATGGTAGAGGTCGCCCTGTGACTTACACAAAATGAGTAACTTTCAGCATTAGACATTATATTATATATTATTATGGGCCACTAAGATTAAGTATTGTAGATAAGAGCTACAATTGTATTGTTTCGTCTTGTCATGAATTTTGCATACTATTCCACTGCACTAAATAAAGTAGCTCTTCCTTATTTTAATTGTATATTTAAAGAATAATTAATTAATATTGTCCGGTACATATTTGCAAAGGAACTGTACGGATGGTCTTCGGCAGTATCCAGATAGCCCGACTCGTGTTCACTGTTCGTGAACACGTGTCCATGTCGGGTTATCTGGTCGGCATATGATATTATATATTTAAGGGCTTAATATTGCCATACTAATTCTCGCTTGAATGACTTAAATGTATTTTGAAAGGGTATATTTCTAATATAATCGAAGTGTGTAATAAATGTTAGAATTAATTAATTAATTAATTTACAGTGTATTAATATCTACCAGTACCATACTTATTACTTAATCGCTGATCAGGTGTCTCTGTTATCTTTCATATTATTTAGTTTTGACGGTAATAAGTTAATTTCTTATCTCCTTTCATGTTACCTCATCAGTTGTCCTAAATCTTTAGAACGTGTAATTTTATTTTTGCTTTTGTCGCTCTGTTGTAAGATAATCTACCATTGATAAAGTGCCGGATTATAGTATAGCGACAAAATAAAAACTAAAATTGTGATATAAGAAAGTGACAGATTTAAGAGGTTGTTTGGTACGAGGTAAACAAATGTGGACAATGGCCCCATTTTGTAATCCATTAGAAAGTTAGAAGTATCATCTTCTGTAAAATACTTTCTTTAGAAACAATATAAATTTTTGTAGCAAAAATATTCATCACCTTCGTTCCCATATCTAACATCACATATAAAGATATAAGACCAAACTATGAAGAAAGTCAGCGCCTCTTAATAACCTTACAGTATATCTACCTAACTCACACACCACTGTGTAGTGTGTACAATGCATTATGTCAGTGTAACAATGTAGTTGTATACATTATCATTTATCAAAGCTCTATGATATATGTATAATTATTCGATATCACACCGGGTATTTCTTCACCTAGCAGATAGTGTCGGAACGGTGATACGTTAGTGCTTATATTTAATACTTGAATAGTAACACGTGGACTCATATTAATAAATATAATGATGGTGATATTTGAAAAGGTGATATTAAATTATGTGTTCGATCCCGTGGGCCTCCCATTGAAATTAAATAGAAATCATCTGTCGAAATTGATTCATATTATACTGTGGCCAGGTGTAAATATTAATATTATTATATGCGATTTTATTGAATACGTGTTCAATCAATAACTTAATTTCTAACATCAACACATTGAACCTGTCTAAAGAGCATGTACGTAATTGTACATTGAGCACATTTGTTGTTTACATAAACTTTACCGTCAAGTTGCCGTATTTGTGCACGCCACAACTTTGCAGCGTGAGAATAGTTTTATATTCTTTTAATTGGTCGTCCGTTATATCGATCATGTGTAACGTTGCCGAATAATTAATTATGCACATCATATTTGATTATCTGTATTATCCGAAAATTTATCGCTGGTCCAATGGAATAATTCTGTGTTTTGTAAATGTACAGGGTATGGTAAAATGTATTGTATTATTAATAGTGTTCAGTATAGTATGTATATACTGAATCCGTAAAAATTGATGATACATTTATGTGTGTAATTCATCGAAAGACGAAATACCTATCTACTAGATCATTCTACATGATGATAAAAACTAAAGTCAAACATGACGAAGCTTTTTGACGAACAAATTATTCTATGAAGCAATCATCAACGTGACATTTTGAATTTTTGAAAACGTGTTACTTTAACCGTTACTGAAAGTTCCATATTCCAAAAGTGTATTATAAGCTCACTGTTGTGTGACCTAATATATTCAACTTTATTTCCGTCATAATCCTATTCTTGTCCAGCCACTCCCTATTAATATTATAAGTGTAAAGTGATTCCCTTTCAATGTAAATAATACAACAAACTGTTTCAGGAGAGAGGAGAGCGGGGTCCAGGACAGAAACACAAGAAAATAGGGCATCGCAGAGTCGACAGCAACACTGGAGCTGTCTCTTATAAGAAGGTTTGTGCCATTAGGTTTGTGCCATTAGCATCCTAAATTGTTGATTGATAAACGATGTTGTAACTTGTTTGAAAAATCTTCGCTGATTGGTAGTTTTTGTTTTTATGCTAGTCAGTAGTCATTTGTCACTGTTTTATGTAACACTGTGTCTCTCTATACAGTGAACATGTTTATAGCATTATTGGCCGTTCCTTTCCCCCGAAATGATAAATAAATAAACAATAAAAACTCTATTTTTATATGTAATACAGTTAATTTATCGTTCATCCGAGAATCACATTATAAAGAGTTGTAACTGTAATCTAGAAGGCGGTCCTGCCTGCAAATAAAGAAACTTTTACTCTGAAACCATAATTAAAGTTACAGAGTTCTTACAAGGACTCGGTAGTTAAAAACTGAACAGAAATAAGGAAGTACTCAGTGTATATATGTATTATGACGCAGTGAAACTATCGGACTACGATGTATGGGGACTTGCCACCCCATGGCAAGTGGCAACATTAAAATATATTGACTATGATAGTTTTATATACTAACTTTTCTGCATAATTAGACTTAATTACTGAATTATTATTGACTTTTATTTCGTTATAAATGCCGAAAACGGGAAAAAATACACGTCTGTTGCTAGGAAACCAGCTGTGGTTGCTATGTTGACCATTGCAATCTACAGAACTTAGATTCCACCACTTCCTAATTTGTGTTGATTTATGTACAAGAAACCTTGTACATAAATTAATATAAATATAAGTTAATTATCTTAATTAAGGTTTTTGAATTATCCAAGAAGATCATTGCGTGCGTGCGTGCGTGCGTGCGTGCGTGCGTGCGTGCATGCGTGCGTGCGTGCGTGCGTGCGTGCGTGCGTGCGTGCGTGCGTGCGTGCGTGCGTGCGTGTATATGGAAAAATTGTGTTAGTATACATTGTACAATGTACATACTAACGACACTACATTGTACTAATGTATATATAGTGTACTATATATAGAGTATAATATAGTGTAGGGTGTGAAGTGTGGATATGATAAAACCAGTTCGTACTTCGTACCATGGCTTAGCTAAACACCACTTATCAGCTCTCTTGTATCTCAAGGAATGACCTCATTTGTGATTTGAGTGTCTACAACATAGTGCCTACAACTCATTCGGGAAAGATCTGGATCTAGAAGGCAGAGCCAGAGAGCCGGGCCCCATATTGTATTATTGTATTCTAGATCAGTTCTTTTTTTAGGTGCCTTGTACATGTACAGTGGGCTGCCATATGTCTTGGTCATTTCTAATAATGACAATACAAACAGTGTTAAACCGATAATTTTCATTGAACCATAACTCCGCTTCCGAGAAATTTGCGCACTGAACGACCAAAACATATGGCACCTCAAAATTCTCAATCGTGAAGAATCTGAAAATGTGTAGACGTATTATAAATATATAGGTCAGGGGCCTGGTTGGTATGAACATTAGAAAAGATATGAAAATGAAAAGAAAAAGTGTTAGAAAAAATCTAGAAATCCTGCTCATGTTTAAGGATTAATGCAGCAGAACTGATATTTGCAAAGAGTAGATACTTGTTCGTAAACGCTTTAACAGGAGTTCGGTTAATTAAAACAGGCCTTTGTAATCGGAATATCTTGACAGACATAATTATATATTATATATAAAATATTTGCAATAATTAGACCAATCTTTATAATTCAATTACTGAAAATAAAAGTCAACACAGCATTGTTTATAAATTGTTTCGCTGTCTGGATGTCTGATTTCCTTGTTTTCGTCACTTTCCCGCAAATTTCTTAGTTAACTGATCCATGATCTTTGACATATTCTTCTTAATCTTTATTAATATCTGTTCCTGTTTCTAGCAAACGTTTCAACTTATTTCTACCAAAATTATTCAACCTACTCACCACTTCCTACCTACTCACAAGTTGCTTATAAACAAAGCCAACTGGTTGTACTGAACTAGGTTTAAGCTACATATGATAATATTCACATTAACTTACTCAATAATGTATTTCAATACTGTGGACACATCTGTAATCACGCATGTATTATTGTACTTAAGTCATCAGTCATCAACTAGTCGCTGTCACAAAACTAAGAAAGAACTAACAACTTTTCTGTGTGAATTTGTTAAAAATGTGGAATCGTACGATTGAAAAACTCGTAATATAACCCGAAATCACATGTTCTGATATTAACTACAATTACAACTATTACGTACTGTGTCACTGTATATGGTGCTGTCAATACTCAATATGAAATATCAGTACATGTCTACTCCCACTACCTAATTATGACTACACAGTATACATGCCTTCCTCTGCATGTCAGTGTCACGCCTCCATTTATGAACCGATTGGTACAATTACTCTGGGTCAAATTCCAACTTAACTATTAGACAAAACCGTGGTCTGCGACTGTATAATTGCATTAGTGTAACCTCTGCTTTAGTATTTACCATACTATTGAAATTATTCATACAGCCCGATCAAATGCGATGGCATGAAAACTGTATGTGTCCGTTGGGAAACAGATTTAAAAGTTGAGCGTAATTACACTTGCAAGACAACATTTGACACCCAGCATGAGCTGCTAAGTTTTGCAAATTGTGCCCGGAGGTTTTGTGCATACCAGCGCGATGGTCTCTAATTATTATATATCTTGTAAAGCCCTGGATCTACGCCACCGGAAGGTCTTCTTGAACGGATCGACGGAGCGCGCTGTTGTCGTTAGCGTGAACAAATGTCGAGATATTAAGCAGTAAGCGTGATATAAAGTGTTGTGATGGCGCGGCATGCTGTGGTATAGTAGGCCGTGATACAACAATTGTCGTTCTGTATGTACCGGCATGGTAAATGTACAGTGACGTTAGGTTAACGTGTCGTGTGAAGTAACTCTCAAGTGTTTAATGCTTTTAGAGCGGTATAATGCATACTAATTTCAAGATCAAGCACACTGAATTACTCTTACTATAACAGTATGGCACCGTGCCAATAGATTCACGCACTTGGATCTGTCGACTTATCAAATCTGTAAATGAAGCAGTTTGTAATTTACAGCTTTGATGGTTTACTAATGTCAGCGAGATAAACACAGGAATTTTAAACCAAAACAGAAACTTGTTTTTTGTAGTCCTTAGTCCGGCTAACAGATGTAACGTTGGTACGTAATAACATATTATAGCAGTAAGTAGTACACTTGTTGGTTTGTTTGTTAGTGAGTTTACCCACAAGTAGTACAATTGTTTACCAGGTATTATGTTGAAAGCAACAATATATTCCATGTGGCTTTATCTAGCAGACTCTTCATGTTTTCCTTCCAGTTGAAATAAGTCATGTGTGGTATCTACTTTTTTTACAAATTGAGGCCTCGGCAATGAAATAGAGTGTCCCACTATATTAACGGAGGAAATTATACTAAGAGTTTTCACTTATCACTTTATCTCAAGGTTAATTTTATTGTTAGACAGTGACAGGCAACTATTATGAACAACTTTACAAATCAAAAAGTTACCTAATAAATCTAAAAATGAAGATAATCCCCCTCCCTAGCTAAGGGAGTTCTTTTAAATGATTGGTCATCAATTATAGATTAGCTGTTGTGGAATTTAGAAAAATCACCTTTTCGGGACGCCATAAACTGAACCTTGTTGCTCGATAAGGTCCATAGCATCTCTGGTTCGAATGCTATCGTGTTGAATCATTCTCCGTCATGTTCATAAAGATAGTCGTTTGGCTCTTCATATTCCTTAGAATACATGATTATTGTTCATGCACTACGAAGTTTGGGAACTTTTCGAAAAAATCCACTAATTTTCGTCTATCTATTTCGGTTTAGCTGACGTAATCGAATATTTCAATATTAGCTGCCTGCAGCTGGTGCTCTTTGCAGTTAACAATTTATATTGCGTAACCCTAGCAGAACTGGTATCTTAAGCAAATATTCAGCCCAAATTTGGACATACTTAAACCGTTCCTGAGAAATCATAAAGCTCGCTTCAAAGTTTAGTGATTTTCAGTAATAATGGACTCACGTGGAAGACTGTCAAGTTCGCACTCCACCGTCCAGATAATTGGTTCATTCCTTCTGAGTGTAAACAAATCTTGTCATTAATTAATTGCTCTGCGTTCAAGAATACATAATGTTGACATTTTGCGTAGACATCGCATCACATCTTTCACCTTTGGCCAAATTATGCCAAACAAATTTACATTCCATCAAAGTCAAAGATAATTCAGGTATTTAGGGCTTAAGTCTATCGACCTGCTAATTTTGCTTTCGAGAGATCAATTTGCTTTTAATTTTAATTGTTAGTACACAGCGGTCCTGCTTCCACGCTTTTGTCTCAAAATCGAAGAAACTCACCTTCCTGTATATTTGACGTGCTATGTTTCTTATTCAATCAATATAATAGTAGCGTGCTCCCCCTGGATCAACCCCGTATGGCTGTACACGCAGACCTAGCAGCATCTCCTTTGTATATTTTTCTAAAGAAGTGAAGCCGAATCTTCTATATATGGTAAAAAAAAGCTCGAGCTGGGTACTTTTTAGAGCGATCGAGAGCATGCAACACAATGCAGCAGTGTGGCACTTTATTTTTTCTGGTTCTTTGTAAAAACACTCGACAGTTTGTGATGCCCCCAACCAGAAAGGTTTGTTGTTGTCTGGTGCAAATTAAAACACGTTTTTTGTACAATACACCGCAAGTTTAAGATGTTTAACTACTTTTGTTGTGTAGCGGTTTGTAACATTTGGTTTTAACTCTCATTCGTGCGAAGGGCTACTGTTTTAAATGGTTTGATTGCATGACCTGACTTTTGAAATTTTCAGATCCCGGCCAGCGGGCTGATGGAGGCACTGCAGATTGGCATCGGACACTCCATCGGTTCTATAACCCCACAAGAAGCTCGAGATATACTTATGAAAGATTTCAGTGAACTGGAAATCGTACATTTTCCTGCGTGAGTACCTTCAATAGACTTAGCTTTTGTTAAGTTTGGAGCTTATGCTTATTTTTCGTAATCTCTACTGTTGGGTATTTTGTATTGATGCAGTTGTGCAATACTCATGTACCCTTGTGCGTGGAGATACATCAAACTCTTAAAAATGGTGTCAGCAATGTCCATTGAGATGAGGTTTTAGAGGCTTCACTTTCTTACCTGGATAGACTTATAAACCTTAATGCTATTTGGAATATATTAGTCTATGCCACTCAAGTGGAAGCCTACCCCCTAGATGCAACCAAAATAATATCAGTACCATATCTTGTTATCAGTGTTTTGCCCTGGTCTCAGATGTAGTTGAGATAGTGGCACCCCTCTCCGAGCGGCGATATCACGTGATATCACGTGTTCCGGTGCTCCGTCACTTATCGTCACTCCACGATCCAACAAGCTCGGCGGTGTCAAGATTATATTAGACATTATACTCGGGCTACTGAATTATCTATTCAATTGTTTACTTTCAACTTCTACCCTTATCAATCCTACATCTACTTTTAACATGGGAAACGTATGCCGAGCTACGAAGTGCAGTCAAGTTATCGACCCAGTATCCACATTTGACGAGAGGTATACCCTGATTGACCGCATTGGAGAAGGAGGATTCGGAGAAGTCTACACCTGCTTGGAAACTGAAAGTGGATCTACCTTTGCTGCCAAACTTGTCACCAACTCCCGAGTTACAGAATGGAGCAAGTCTGACGTGGAACGAGTCCCGATGGAGGTGAAAGCCATGGCTTCCTGTGATCATCCTAACATCATCAAGCTTCTTGACTACTTCATCTATCAGAGACATTCGGTCATTGTGATGGAAAAACCCCTCGACTCAGCGGATCTGTTCAACTACACAGCCTACCTTGGTGGAGTATCAGAAACAGAAACCCGAAATATAATGAAACAGCTAATTGAAGCCGTGTGGTACCTTCACTACGATGCTAGGATCGTCCACAGGGATATCAAACCGGAGAACGTACTTGTTGACGTCCGTACCAAGTCCTGCAAGCTGATAGATTTTGGAGCTGCTACCTGGTTTCATCCTAATACTTACACGGAATTCTCTGGCACCAGACTATACGCTCCTCCTGAGGCACTTCTTACTGGTAAATACAAAGCTGAAACCCTGACTACCTGGTCTCTTGGAGCTACCCTCTACTTTACCCTCTTTTCTAGACTACCCTTCCCCAACGAGCAAGCTATAGTGGACTGTACCATACGCCTTCCTTCAAATTGCTCCCTCTCTCCAGATTGCCTTCTGTTCCTGCAATCCTGTCTTCACCCCAATCCTGCTCGACGACCCTCTGCTGATGGACTACTGAAACACCCCTGGCTAGCAAACATTGGATTCTTCCTCCAATAAACATTCCAACTATGGGATGTCTTTTATAATGATGATTGATGTATTTTGATTAATATTTGATTAATAATTGAATTTATTATGATCAGCTATGTCTTTAAATGCATTTGACGGAAAGTAAGCAAATTAACTTTATTTAGAATAAAGTATGACGTTGTGAAGTGACAGGATGGTAATGAAGTGTTATTCCTCAGGTTGGGCACCTCAACGACGCCAGCACATAGATGTAAAGACTTCATTTTTAAAACATACGCCGCTCGAGCTTTCAAGAAATTCCGAAAGGAATTTAGTATTGAAGCCGACGATTTTTTAGTGAGCTTAACTTTGACTTATGACCTTCATTGATTGCGTATGACTTTCTTTGTCCATTTACATATTTGACAACCAACACATCACCACGATTGTCAATTTCGCAAACCGCACCAAACGCTTAATTGTGCCGGAAGACCATATCATGGTCCAGCCTCTCTTTAAAAAAATGTATTCACAATCATATTTTAGGCATTTCCTAAAAACCAGATCCATTTCAGGTATCATTGTGTACACATAGGTTAAAAGAGTTGTCCAATCCTGGTGCTAGCGGATCGCTATTCTTTTTATCACACGACGACAACTTTATTATTAAAACAATTACTCGTAAAGAAGCGATATTCTTGCAGAAACTTTTACCAGGATACTATCTTGTAAGTTTAATTGGCTAGAAGTTAATGACTTAGGTACAGTAATTATTATTGTACTTTTTTTCCTGGTTACTTAGAAATACTCATACGAACTGCTATGTAAATTTCCTGTTCCAAAAATACTTATGTTTGTTAGATTGAGATTGGAATTAAAGTTTTAACTAATATTTGCACTTGTTCTAATTCCACATATTTTTTTTCAGAATTTAACACAGAATAAAAAGACGACGCTGCCCTGTTTTTACGGTTCGTTCCAGTATGAGAGTATGGGTAAAACCATTCGAATCTGTATTATGAACAACATCCTTCCATCTAATATAAAGTATCACGAAAAATACGATCTAAAGGGCTCGATGTTTAAGCGGCAAGCTAATCATAAAGAAAGGACGAAGGCCTCTCCAACGCTCAAAGATTTAGATTTTTTAGAAGAGCATCCGGGAGTAAGTTTTCACGGGAAAAGTTTTCCATAAGTTGATTCTTTCCAAACTATCGAGCTTCACTGTTGATAATCCAATACAATCAATATGTATTTAAGTTAGTTTTGCTAGATAATTGTCTCCATCTATTTTATATTCGGGCTTTTGGTAACGATGATGATTACTATATGTTATAATTAAAGTTTTAATTTTTTCTGAATAGATTTGTATTTGAGATGATTTAGCTGTTTGTTGCTGGATATTTTCACCTCACCCTTTAGAACCGCTCTGACATGGTTAGTACCTGACACTTGTGTCAGTTGCTCATCATATGGGCGGTATACATTATACAAGCACATTATTTCATTTCATTTAATTTCATTTCATTTCATAACCTAAAAGAGCTCTACCAAGATCTTTTTCCAGGGTTTGATTTTAGAACCGGATTTATACGATGATCTGAAGAGAACTTTAGAACGAGATATTCGTGTTTTGGAGAGTTTCAGGATAATGGACTACTCCCTCTTGTTGGGTATCCACAACATTTCTCTCAATAAACAGGAGACCCTTAAATCTCGGAAACCCAACTTGGAAACCAGGCCATACTCTGACCAGGTAAGAATCGTAATTCGTCAGTATTTTAATTCGAACGAATTTTTATGGGCCAACTCGGTGACCAAATTTAATAAGTCGAAGGAGTTATAAATCTTGAACCTTAGGAGATAGGTTACGATCAAGACTACGCAAAACAAGTACTCGATAGAATCGGTAGTAAGCGTCTGAAAGATAATTGGAAACAAGACGACAGTATACCCCAGTAAGTATTACTAGAATCATTACTTTTAGCTAATTGTCTCTTCCTTTAACTACCAGGCTTGCCACTATAACCCTACCATTTGCCCCATTCTCTGTAACGTATACTCCGTACCCTATCCCCATGCAACGCTATGCCGATAATCTCTTTCCCCGTCTATTTTCCACTTATTTACCCACGCCATGACATAAAATCTTTCAAGTTGGGCCAATGTCAGCATTGCCATTACGCTATAAAATAGCATGTTAACAGTGTGGCCAAAATTCCGTGGACCCCTTGGCATTCTGATCTTAACACAATAGCTAGTTATCTACATAGTTGCTGTAAATGTAGCTTTCGCCTGGTGGCTGGTTTCGAAATGATGTCAATAAATTAATCCTAGTTGGTTTACAAAGCAAGAATTGCCTTATCTATGACGCTGGTTAATATTAACGAAATATGTATTGTATGCATATTTATCAACATCATGTAATATATTTATTTTAACATATAATTTGTTTAACGAACATTGGGGGACATTAACATTAATTATACATTAATTATACTACATTAATTCTACTCTCCATTTAAAGATGTTATGGCATGGGAAGGCTATATTGCAGCTATTCAACTTAAAACATTTATTTCTATAAAATTGGCTGTTACGTATAGCACTCTCGTGAGCAAGCTAGAATTCTTTCTGAAGGACTCGAGTTCAACTAGTTACCCAACTAGCCGAGGAGCTTGCTTCTAAACTGTTGGTATTCGTTCCAGAACCGTACCTCCTCCGCCACCAGAAGAGCCCAAGCCGGTGCCGCGCTTGGTGCAAAATAAAAAACGCCGGAAGGCCCGGTCCGCTGACGCAGGGGGTAGTGCCGCTGAGCGCGCTCAAAGAGCTGCAGTGTCCACTTCCAGCTTCAGGCGGTTCAAGTAATTAACCCGATCACTAAAGCACGATAAGTCTAGTACCGCATTTTAGGGTGCAGCATGGTTTTCTTTGCAAGTTGATGTTCGGTTGATGTAATGATGTATATTCTTGTGTTATTAATAGCATCTCCTGTCTGTGTTGAAAGTGCACGTTCGCCTGTCAGTCTACTTCATATTTTTTAACTGTTGGGTTTTGAATGTGTGGAAACAAGAATGTTATTATAAGATTTTCTGCCCTGTAAGTGTACAAATATTCGATGACCGTCGTATTTCTGCAGATTTCTTTTATCTTTCACTTTTATCTGTGATTATGATTATCACTATTTATGATGTTCCTTATTCGATCGGCACGTCTTTTAGCATCTCAATTTAACTATTTTGTAGTTGCCATGACCTTACAAATTGTCCTTTCTTTCTTGTTTAAAATAATATGATGTACAGAATTTTAAGAAATGTTTTCGATATAAATTGTACATTATAAATGTAATTTAATCCTGAATCTTACATTGTGAGATTCCTGATTTTTCAAGACACTTATTTCAGCGGTGGAACGCTGGCTGTTAACGAACGAGGTGAACAATGTCTTATTTTCTTGGGAATCATCGACATTCTTCAGAGTTACCGGTAGGTCGCTGCTTCAACAGTTTAAAGTATAAATTCTTCTTCATTGGGGAACTGACGTTAATAACCAGAGTTAAATTGTTAGTATGATAATTGATATGTCGGTAACACAAACATCATTTAGTGAGTCATGCGAGCGTTCATCCAGTGCACACTACTGCTTCTGCGCTCGGCTACTTAAATTTGATATTGATATTCATATTATAGGCGCTTGTAATTAAAGCATTATGTAGTTATTACGAAATTAGTTTGATGGCAATGTCAAATGTCAATAACGGTTACGTATTCAAAAAATAATCATCAGCAAACCATTTAAATTCAAATCAATTCAATCCAATCCCTATAAATTCTATTCCAATTACTTGAAATTTGTATTCGACTTGAAATGATCGGATTATTACTCGGCCCCGCTGAGAACCCGGCGTAACAAACGGTTATTTAGATTTTCCTCGAAAGAATTTAAAGCTGTGACAAAAATAATTCCTGACGTCCCCCTCCTTTAGACTCCTCAAAAAGATGGAACATTCGTGGAAGTCCATTATAACGGATGGAGACACTGTGTCAGTCCATAGACCAGGCTTTTACGCTGAACGATTTAAAAACTTTTGCTTTGATCGTGTTTTCAAGCGAGGAGGTAAGAAAATAATTTGCAAGTGTTCCTGAGAATATAGTTCTGAGAATAAACATAGAGATATTAGAGGAATATGACAAATTCAAGAATGAATTGGTCCTTCTTTTTTGAGAGGTCTTGAAAAATGATTACCTGTTTGAGATAAATGCTTAAACTTCTGATAACACATCCTTATCTCATTATTTCAGACGATTCTTCACCTCAAGTTCGACGCCAGAAGTCTGGAATCCGACGACAGACGTCTCGAACGGGCAACTCAAATATGGTCAATAATCCAGTTCCCAGAGCCAAGCCTAAGGAAACTGTAAGCGCAGAGCCATCTCCTGTTATCGTAAGTTTGGCAGATATGATTTCAACAGTTGTTGAGAATATCGATAATAAATCAGAATTAAGTCAAACAAACCAAGCCTGATGACCCGCCTCTTGTATAATGCCATTCGACAAAGGTTGTTTTCAGGAACCAACTGACGATGCACCAGGACCCTCAAAAGAGCCTGACGAGCAACCAGCTCCCAGTGTTATAAAGTCCTCTCAACCTGCTTCCAGCGAACCTGCTGACGCTGTAGAGCTGGAAAGCGTGTCCATTAGTTTAGATAAGAGTAAGGAGGAAAACAATCACACAGCGGAGTTGCGGACTGTTTTAGTAAGTCCTGTGAGTATGTGACGAAATCTCGCTGTTCCACAATCCACAGCACGTGGTGTTACACGTGGCGTTACACGTGGCGTTACACGTGGTGTTACACGTGGTGTTACACTCGCTGTTACACTTGCTGTTCTACTGGCCTAGCTGTGACATGTTATTTCAAAAGTGCTGTTAAACGTGTTGTTACATATTATTGTGATGTAAGATTTTTCTGTGTGTTTGGAAATTGAAAGTGTTGGTTCCAGCTCGTGGAGATATTGCATGCTCCGCAGTAGTTTATTTTTTTCTGTCCTGTTTCGAGCTGTGAATATGTCTATTTTTGGATGTGTCCGTAGTTTTTTCTTTTCACCATGATGCTCAACTAATTTCCACTAATACTTCATAAGTATATTAAGTAATAATTAATCAGCTCAACTTCATTAAATTGATTAATTAACCGTTCTCCTTTAATGTTTTCTAACCCACCATTGCCAGGTGTGAGGAACTGACTAGCTTTAATGATAGCGAGAAGACATCGCCTCCCCAGCAATGTCCTGACACACTCCACTATTAGCTCCCATTTAATTGCACAGCCCGTGAGCAACAACTGTAGTTTACTACGTGAACTCAAATTAGAATTCAATAGTTAATGTAAGTACTGTAGACTTGTCGTATATTATAATACGCGTTTTGTGTTCCATATAATATAACTTATATGGTTAAATAATTAAACTCGATAAATTTGATGATGATATGAGTTTAACGTGTTTTAGAGTTGCAATGAGATGTATAATGTTTGATTAATGATTATACTGTAACGGGGAATGCTTTATGTGGTCGTGTGTGGCTTACCTCAGCGTTGGTTTTCACTGCTAATTATTTACTCGATTACTTAATTAATTGCGTAATTAACTGTGTTCGTGAGATGCTGTAAATTAGGTCCTCTCTTAACTTGCTTAATGCTTATAACCGAGTTTAACAAAACGTTAATTGATTGAATCTGTTGCAAGTTCTGTCATATATCAGGTATTACGTTTTATTTGCCTATTGCCTATTAGTTTTAACCACAGTTTCCAACCAACTGATAAGCAACATTATATCCTCAAGATCTGATGGTGCATATTTCAGGCTGACACTTTCAAGTTGAGATCATTTAACCCTCTGAATCTGATTTAAGTTAAACATTTTATGTTTTTTTACCTCTTTAACGTCTCTTACAATTGAGCTTGGAAACATCGTACATCCATGAAATGTCGGATTTTTGGTGATATTACGGGACATTATTTTTTGACACTTCAAATTTTTTGCTGGACAACTTTTGTATTACATTTTTGCTGTTGGGTCTCTTCGAAATAAAAAACACTGAAGAAAAAGTGCACTACACCTTTGATTCTTTGTTACAAATTTTCTGTGATCAACTTTCTTGGTTTTTTATTTTATTTTCACTCTTACAAAATACGTAGGAACGCCGAACGACATTAGCTCTTCTGTAAGATCATCTCGGAACCATCATAATTTCGATGTGTGTTCCATGAAGTAGGAGACTATGAATAGATGTGATTATCTTTGGTTTTTCGAACATTGTGTTATTGTATGATGTATCTAGATTTTAAATTCTGGAACGAAAGTTCATATTATGCATGGTAATATTGGTTTGAGGCCTGCGTACACAGCTTTCGCGGAGGTTCAAAACATTTTGCAACATTCAAAGATACACATTTAGGTAACTCACCAGGAGATGAAAGTGCTGTATTTTACTACGTATTGGAACAGTTTTGAGTTGAACATTTTTAAAATAGATATGATTCGAAATATGTATCTCGCGTCTGACCGTCAAAGTACATTATAATAATTGACTTTGCAGTTGAATTCAGAATTTGTAATATTTTTATTCGTATCACACGGTTTTGTTTTAGAGATGTTTAAAAACTGTCGTTTCATTGTTTTGGAGAGGAAGGGGTCATTCTGGGGAGGGATTTTCAAACGAGAAAGAGTTCAAATAATTAGAGGCTCGGCTGGTGCGGGAGGGAGATCGAGTTCAAAGAGGAAGAGGCCGGAAGCAGAGGGTAACAAGTCTTACTCGGAGAATGATTGTCATACGTTGTATGACCCGCCGCGCACGAGTGCGCGGCTCCTCCTGTATCGTCGAAACTCTACAGTGAAGCGACAGTGGGGGTCACCACGTGATACAAGAGAATGATAGGACTAGGAGAAGGGGAGATACTGATTACTGACAAACAGAAGACTAAGAGCATACGACTACGAGGCTGGAAAAGGACACAATAGTTATACTTATAGTACTAGTGGATCAGAGATTGCATTTGTAGGTTTACAACCTACCAGGACGCGCGCCGAGTTGGACTCGTCGACGGTCCAATATATGGAACAGATATTTTACGAGTATCACCCGTTAAATATTGCATCAATGATCAATATTTCCCGATTCATGTGTCATACTGCAATGGCTTCTGATGCGAAATTGCGAAGTGACGTGGTAGCTTAGTGAAATATATAAAAATCGTATTACGTTGCAAAGTTATTTTACTATTTACTAATTAAATTATGTTGTATATACCGTTTCTGCACCTTGACCTAACCATGGGCCTTCACGCGCGTACTACGTGACGTGGGCCCGCGCTACTGCAAGCAGCAAGGTCTTTGGTCAGCTATACTTACTGGGCGGCGCTGGCTAATATTAAATACTAGTGGACTCTATGCAGGTCTCCCAGCGCCACTAATTTTACAGATCTGGAGGTCACATTTTATTGAGCCAGTACAGGCTAATATTAAATACTAGTGGACTCTATGCAGGTCTCCCAGCGCCACTAATTTTACAGATCTGGAGGTCACATTTTATTGAGCCAGTACAGGCTAATATTAAATACTAGTGGACTCTATGCAGGTCTCCCAGCGCCACTAATTTTACAGATCTGGAGGTCACATTTTATTGAGCCAGTACAGGCTAATATTAAATACTAGTGGACTCTATGCAGGTCTCCCAGCGCCACTAATTTTACAGATCTGGAGGTCACATTTTATTGAGCCAGTACAGGCTAATATTAAATACTAGTGGACTCTATGCAGGTCTCCCAGCGCCACTAATTTTACAGATCTGGAGGTCACATTTTATTGAGCCAGTACAGGCTAATATTAAATACTAGTGGACTCTATGCAGGTCTCCCAGCGCCACTAATTTTACAGATCTGGAGGTCACATTTTATTGAGCCAGTACAGGCTAATATTAAATACTAGTGGACTCTATGCAGGTCTCCCAGCGCCACTAATTTTACAGATCTGGAGGTCACATTTTATTGAGCCAGTACAGGCTAATATTAAATACTAGTGGACTCTATGCAGGTCTCCCAGCGCCACTAATTTTACAGATCTGGAGGTCACATTTTATTGAGCCAGTACAGGCTAATATTAAATACTAGTGGACTCTATGCAGGTCTCCCAGCGCCACTAATTTTACAGATCTGGAGGTCACATTTTATTGAGCCAGTACAGGCTAATATTAAATACTAGTGGACTCTATGCAGGTCTCCCAGCGCCACTAATTTTACAGATCTGGAGGTCACATTTTATTGAGCCAGTACAGGCTAATATTAAATACTAGTGGACTCTATGCAGGTCTCCCAGCGCCACTAATTTTACAGATCTGGAGGTCACATTTTATTGAGCCAGTACAGGCTAATATTAAATACTAGTGGACTCTATGCAGGTCTCCCAGCGCCACTAATTTTACAGATCTGGAGGTCACATTTTATTGAGCCAGTACAGGCTAATATTAAATACTAGTGGACTCTATGCAGGTCTCCCAGCGCCACTAATTTTACAGATCTGGAGGTCACATTTTATTGAGCCAGTACAGGCTAATATTAAATACTAGTGGACTCTATGCAGGTCTCCCAGCGCCACTAATTTTACAGATCTGGAGGTCACATTTTATTGAGCCAGTACAGGCTAATATTAAATACTAGTGGACTCTATGCAGGTCTCCCAGCGCCACTAATTTTACAGATCTGGAGGTCACATTTTATTGAGCCAGTACAGGCTAATATTAAATACTAGTGGACTCTATGCAGGTCTCCCAGCGCCACTAATTTTACAGATCTGGAGGTCACATTTTATTGAGCCAGTACAGGCTAATATTAAATACTAGTGGACTCTATGCAGGTCTCCCAGCGCCACTAATTTTACAGATCTGGAGGTCACATTTTATTGAGCCAGTACAGGCTAATATTAAATACTAGTGGACTCTATGCAGGTCTCCCAGCGCCACTAATTTTACAGATCTGGAGGTCACATTTTATTGAGCCAGTACAGGCTAATATTAAATACTAGTGGACTCTATGCAGGTCTCCCAGCGCCACTAATTTTACAGATCTGGAGGTCACATTTTATTGAGCCAGTACAGGCTAATATTAAATACTAGTGGACTCTATGCAGGTCTCCCAGCGCCACTAATTTTACAGATCTGGAGGTCACATTTTATTGAGCCAGTACAGGCTAATATTAAATACTAGTGGACTCTATGCAGGTCTCCCAGCGCCACTAATTTTACAGATCTGGAGGTCACATTTTATTGAGCCAGTACAGGCTAATATTAAATACTAGTGGACTCTATGCAGGTCTCCCAGCGCCACTAATTTTACAGATCTGGAGGTCACATTTTATTGAGCCAGTACAGGCTAATATTAAATACTAGTGGACTCTATGCAGGTCTCCCAGCGCCACTAATTTTACAGATCTGGAGGTCACATTTTATTGAGCCAGTACAGGCTAATATTAAATACTAGTGGACTCTATGCAGGTCTCCCAGCGCCACTAATTTTACAGATCTGGAGGTCACATTTTATTGAGCCAGTACAGGCTAATATTAAATACTAGTGGACTCTATGCAGGTCTCCCAGCGCCACTAATTTTACAGATCTGGAGGTCACATTTTATTGAGCCAGTACAGGCTAATATTAAATACTAGTGGACTCTATGCAGGTCTCCCAGCGCCACTAATTTTACAGATCTGGAGGTCACATTTTATTGAGCCAGTACAGGCTAATATTAAATACTAGTGGACTCTATGCAGGTCTCCCAGCGCCACTAATTTTACAGATCTGGAGGTCACATTTTATTGAGCCAGTACAGGCTAATATTAAATACTAGTGGACTCTATGCAGGTCTCCCAGCGCCACTAATTTTACAGATCTGGAGGTCACATTTTATTGAGCCAGTACAGGCTAATATTAAATACTAGTGGACTCTATGCAGGTCTCCCAGCGCCACTAATTTTACAGATCTGGAGGTCACATTTTATTGAGCCAGTACAGGCTAATATTAAATACTAGTGGACTCTATGCAGGTCTCCCAGCGCCACTAATTTTACAGATCTGGAGGTCACATTTTATTGAGCCAGTACAGGCTAATATTAAATACTAGTGGACTCTATGCAGGTCTCCCAGCGCCACTAATTTTACAGATCTGGAGGTCACATTTTATTGAGCCAGTACAGGCTAATATTAAATACTAGTGGACTCTATGCAGGTCTCCCAGCGCCACTAATTTTACAGATCTGGAGGTCACATTTTATTGAGCCAGTACAGGCTAATATTAAATACTAGTGGACTCTATGCAGGTCTCCCAGCGCCACTAATTTTACAGATCTGGAGGTCACATTTTATTGAGCCAGTACAGGCTAATATTAAATACTAGTGGACTCTATGCAGGTCTCCCAGCGCCACTAATTTTACAGATCTGGAGGTCACATTTTATTGAGCCAGTACAGGCTAATATTAAATACTAGTGGACTCTATGCAGGTCTCCCAGCGCCACTAATTTTACAGATCTGGAGGTCACATTTTATTGAGCCAGTACAGGCTAATATTAAATACTAGTGGACTCTATGCAGGTCTCCCAGCGCCACTAATTTTACAGATCTGGAGGTCACATTTTATTGAGCCAGTACAGGCTAATATTAAATACTAGTGGACTCTATGCAGGTCTCCCAGCGCCACTAATTTTACAGATCTGGAGGTCACATTTTATTGAGCCAGTACAGGCTAATATTAAATACTAGTGGACTCTATGCAGGTCTCCCAGCGCCACTAATTTTACAGATCTGGAGGTCACATTTTATTGAGCCAGTACAGGCTAATATTAAATACTAGTGGACTCTATGCAGGTCTCCCAGCGCCACTAATTTTACAGATCTGGAGGTCACATTTTATTGAGCCAGTACAGGCTAATATTAAATACTAGTGGACTCTATGCAGGTCTCCCAGCGCCACTAATTTTACAGATCTGGAGGTCACATTTTATTGAGCCAGTACAGGCTAATATTAAATACTAGTGGACTCTATGCAGGTCTCCCAGCGCCACTAATTTTACAGATCTGGAGGTCACATTTTATTGAGCCAGTACAGGCTAATATTAAATACTAGTGGACTCTATGCAGGTCTCCCAGCGCCACTAATTTTACAGATCTGGAGGTCACATTTTATTGAGCCAGTACAGGCTAATATTAAATACTAGTGGACTCTATGCAGGTCTCCCAGCGCCACTAATTTTACAGATCTGGAGGTCACATTTTATTGAGCCAGTACAGGCTAATATTAAATACTAGTGGACTCTATGCAGGTCTCCCAGCGCCACTAATTTTACAGATCTGGAGGTCACATTTTATTGAGCCAGTACAGGCTAATATTAAATACTAGTGGACTCTATGCAGGTCTCCCAGCGCCACTAATTTTACAGATCTGGAGGTCACATTTTATTGAGCCAGTACAGGCTAATATTAAATACTAGTGGACTCTATGCAGGTCTCCCAGCGCCACTAATTTTACAGATCTGGAGGTCACATTTTATTGAGCCAGTACAGGCTAATATTAAATACTAGTGGACTCTATGCAGGTCTCCCAGCGCCACTAA